AATTGCATGTATTTTATGCATTAATCAAGTTCTGCACATGAATTCACAGTTTTGGATGGAAACATAGCTAGTGAGACCCTAAAGAATCAAAGAAAGAGTACTTTTGTAACTGTTTAAGCTCGTTCAAGACAAAATTGATAAACTGTTTTAAAAAAAAAGAAACACGCCAACATGCATATTTTTTAAAAAGTTATGTATTCATCCCTTTCAGTACCTAAATCCCCAAATTTTCATTCACACTCCTATCAAATCTTATTAGAGTCTGAGGCTGCTTGGGGAACGGTAGTCATGTAATCGATACACGATTTGATAAATTTCGAGGTTAGCTACATAAAACGGGTGAGGGTGCATATCTTTAAAGGAAAGGAATGGAATGTGGCAGTTGTCATAACCTTTTTATAGTGTTTTCTCAAATGCTAGAAGAAAAAAAATTAATTATCTTGCACAGATCTTGTCATTAGATTTTCTTTGATAGCAAGGAGGACCACTGATGGTTTGGGGCCTACAAAGTGTGAATACTTTGCACATTAAGAGAACTGGCTTGGCCCCAGATATAGAAAGAGCTGTTTTCTCCTTCAGCTTGTGCAAGTTAGGTTTTGTGGAACTGAATTACAATACTTGATACTGAAAAAGCCTAATTAAGTGATTGGCTGACACAATTTATTATTCTTTTTAAAGAAAATAAAAAAAAACAGATGTAGTTAGGCTACAGTATTTTGTATTTCAAACAGGTATTTAAATATATGTGTCTCATATATTGTTCATTCTTGTATGAGTTAATAATGGCCATGTATTGACATAAATCAATCATTTTTATTCAATTAATAATGGAAAGTAGTGTTTATCAATACCAAGGCCCAATCCCGATTCTAATTTTGTATCCCTTCCTCTTGGCCCTTGAAATAGAATGTGAAGTGGAAGGGCTTCAAAATTTACCCCTAAGAATTGGAATACCACTACAGCACCTGCACAGGTCGTCATATGTCATCGCGATATCATGCTTTATATGAGGTCAGGGGTCTGTTCTTCGTACGTGGATTACTCAGTTAGCTGGATTTGGATATTGACGATTTGACACGATCCAGGATCGTTTCGTTCTTCAAAGCTGATCCGAGAGTTGTTGTCATGGCAACAGATCTGCTAGGTCAAACCTGATCGGGAGCAGGTTCAAATCATATAAACAGGATTAGATCGGCTCAGTTCAAGCAAAGATAATACAGAAAGTATGTACCGAGTTCTGATATTTCCTTACAGTAAAAGTTATATACACTTGGGAAAATAGTAAATATTTTTTAACTATATATATAAAAGTTATAGTCATTAATAAAATAAATAAAGTTATACATATTAATAAAACGTATGCAATCTGCACCCTCAAAATGAAAATACAAAGACTGCCACCTGGTGGTGCAAAGAAAAAACTTATTGATATGAACTTTTTAGATCGCTTTAGTACAAATTGTGTATAATAGAAAAGCACAATATGTGACTTTTTTTAAAAGCAATAATACATTTATGCAGTCATAAACATGTTTTGACAGTTAATATGCCAGTGATGCTTCACAAAAGTTGCAGACGCCTTTACCAATATCAAAATGCTTTTGGAAACAACCAGTTATTCTTTACACCGATTAAAAAACGGTTACTATAATAAAGAAAATCTTTTCTAAATGAAGAACTAAATACATTGATTTGCATTGAAATACATGATGAATACTCTTGTCTTGACAAATGAAAGTGTAAAGCCTGCAGCTCACAACAATTGTGAAGTTACTGCGTGTCATATTTAACAAGCCGTTTACTGCTAATTTGATGTAATTTTGCTCACATGGATAATTGAATATTAATCAGATGATGTCATTACGCTGCTGTGCAGTCAGCCAATCGTTGCATTGCTGATCATGATTTCTAGGATCGATAGATCTGTCCTTAACAACAAACGCAGCGATCTCAGATCAGTTCATCCAGATATTCTAATCTGATTCGTGAACTTGTTTGGAGAACCAAATTAGCGAGAGATCAGTTATCAAGATTAAAAGATCCAGGATCTGCCAAATCATCTTAGATCATTTAAGCGAGGTACGAAGAACGGACCCCAGATGACCATGACTGCTGTAGTGATTCCAGTTGCATTGTTTTTTTGGTATTTATCTTCAGGAAATCCCTGAAGGCATATATTATGCTATCATAATGATCTAATGTGGCAATAGGATTATAATTGTCTTGTGCATTTACACCGTGGCCATATTCATCTATGTAAACACATGAAAAACAACATTAACATTATAGCAGACACTGTAAAAAGGTCATTGCCTTTGGTCTACCCCCACCCCTTAGCCCTACGCCTTCAAGCTAAAGAGAATTGGGACACCCCTTCACGCAACTAGCAAACTAGCAAAATGAGGGCTAGGGGTAAAGGGAAGGGCTAAGGGCTAGAATTGCGATTGGGCCCATTTGGGACATCGATACATTTTTTAATATGTACAACCAACACAATCTCACAGCAATTTGTAACTTTTTGATTTAGTGGCTAAATGGTATGAATTCGTATAATCAAATTCATACAATTTATTATGATTTGCTCATTACCCAATGATGATTGGGGTTAGAGGTGAGGCTGGGTGCCACACCTCCTTTTTAAAATCGTACATTTTCGTATGAACTCATACGGATTCGTACGAATTAGCCACTAAACTGACAAAACGTAAAATACTTACGTTTCCTAGTGAGATCAGGCTGGTATAACTATAACCAGAGATTTCACATTAGGAAATGGATTTGAATGGCTTTTTACGTTGACTTTAAATCAATTGAAAAAAACGCAAATATTAAACAACCTTTCTAGCTTTTAAAAACAGGTACATTTCTAATGGCAAATATAAATGTTATGCAAATGTACACTGATATATTAAATTAGAGTGCAAGATATTTCTCAAAATAAAATCTTACTACTATTAATTATTTTTGTTGAATAAATTTTGGCATTACATTGCATTTACTACATGAACTACATTCCTTGTTCTCCTTTAAACGTGCTCTAGAATGCATTGATACAATGTAGTATACTGTTTTCTGATATCTACAAAGAAGGCATATGGCGTAGGTAAGTGCAAAAATGTTCAGAAAGGGTTTTACATGTTCAATTACAACTTTAGTCATTTGACCTAATATGATGTGATAGGTTTTGACCATGTTTCAGCTTTCAGCAGTGACATTTACACTATTACATTGAATTGAACTAAACTGAATTTCAACCGTGAAACATGGACTGAAGCAACTTACTAGAACTTCACCTATGTTAAGCTGCTATGACACAATCTACATTGTAAAAAGTGCTATAGAAATAAAGAAGAATTGAACATTATAATTAAATGTTTGGAAGGGTTGTGAATATTAATGAGCTATACTTTTACTCTCTAGTATCTTATATCAGTGTCTGACACTTTGACATACACAAACACAATGTGATGTACTCCGAATTACACACATGCAGAATAATCGAATTTCAGTTGTCAAAAAATATTTTAACAAATTGAGTAGATACCTAAATAAATGACCATTTTTTCAACTGAATTGGTAAAGAAGTTAAGCTAGAAGGTGTAAGTGATATTTGTGTCACCAGAATAACCTAGTTTCCCTCTGAGAAGTGTTTTAGATGAAATATAGGCTAAATTATAATTATACTAAAGAAATGGAGCAGTTTTTACATACAATATAACATATTTCAAAACTGAGGCAGGAATTAATATCTACCCCTGCAAAAACATATCCATTAATGTACATTAAACACTTATATTAGGTATGGTATACTTGTCTGATGCCACATTACATACATTCAAAATGTACATGCTAAACTAACAAAAGGCCTCTTTGGGGTGCCACTGAAAAAGTTATAATCCATAATCCCACATTTTGCCTTCCGAATAGCGTTGAAGAGATAAGATCATGCATTGCTGCCTGTTTCAAAAAGCTGCTCCTGTTTTCAGTCCTTCATCCATAGTAAGTATGAAACACATTTAGATTAACTTAAAAATTAATGAAAAAATTATAATTATCGTTATCTCACAATGACTGCTTTGAGTGTGTATATTAATGTGGATCGTCCTTGTTTTTGTTCTGATTGCCCTGTTTTTTTACCATGTTTTGCACTCACAGGATTTACATGAGAACATGGAAATAATGGAGTGTGAGGCTCACAGTATGTCATTTCCATTAAGTCCTATTAATCAGCTGTGCCTAGATATTTAAGATGTTCATTCTTTGAAATCTTTAAGATAGACTTGTAACAATATACTTTTACTTGCATACTTTTTAAAAAAGATCTCATTGTGTGTCCCAATTTCAACTGTTATTCTCAAAACAAACAACTAGAAGAATGGCTCCACCTGATCTCATACTCAGGCAGGATTAAACAAAGATATTGAATTCTGAAGAGATGTAGAAATGGGATTTCCCGTGTACAGTATGTATTCTTCAGATCACATTATGTCAGTGTTTTTTCTTACCAGTCATAATTCTATTCAAACTAATGCTGTCTGTTAGTTCTGTCAAACATTATAGCTGATGTTCTAAAATATTAAGTCTATTGCTGTTTGTGTACATCTGCCTAGCAGAAGCAAACCGAGAAGGCAATTTTTCTAATCTCTCTTTACTCTCTGCTAGGTAGATGTATTCACCTATCTCAGCACTAATATCGCCAACGCAGCTCTGGACGATAATAAAACAACACTGACAGCATTGCTTACATCTGTGGTGAAAGCTTCACTGAAGCAACCTTTTGTGAAAAGTGACTCCTCCTCAGTAGGACAAAATCTTACTGGTCATATTCTCTCCTCCATTAGCCAAGTCAGGGTTCTCATTTCACTCTCAGATGGCACAGTAATAAAGGGTCACTGAGAGGATGCATTTTTCTTTGGGTTTGGTTTGGCTCAGTTCAGGAATAACAGGCTTGCCGATTACTCTGTACTATGGTACCCGATTTCGGTGACATTGAGGCTGACCTTGGAGTCACCTCCCCCGCTGCCGCACTCTCCCTTGTCGTACCACCATTTGTTTTTCAATTTGTCCAACAGGCCTTGCTCATTCAGTTTTAAAACTGCCAGGTTAACAGCATTTCTTGAAACAATAAAACATAACTTGTAAGAAAATGCACAGGTCTGTGAGCAATCTACTGCATTAGCATAGTAGTAGTAATGGTAACATTATTGAATATGGTCAGCTACTACTACTAGGAGTCAATTATAGCAGCATTTATAATGGCTGAAACAATTTGGTTAAGAATTTCACGAATATGAAAGTAAAAGAAGATCAGAGCAAAGAAAGTGTTAAATATTCAAGGTGGCATGGAGGGTTACATTGTTTTAAACTGAAGTGTGCGGGATGGGGACATTGTCATTGAGAAGAAAAGTAACAACAACAAACACCATGCAATTAACATTCGTCACAAGTGACAGCACAGCTTTTACAAGCTAAATTGAAAAACCGTTGAACTGTTAAATTAAAAGTGACAACACAACTGTCAGGAAGGACAGCCACATGAGACAGCAAGAGAAAGATCGAAGGACAAAAAAGACGAGAAGGGACACACATACACGCACGCGCACACACACGCACACACTCGCACACACAAATGTGAAATGACTGCTTAAATTAACCACTGACTAAGTCTCGAAATGATAAAAATCTGTTTGAGAAAATGGAAAAGAAGACAAACATTTAAAGAAGAAAAAACTGATCAAAAGCATCATTGTGAAAGCATCAAATATCATTCAAAATGCATAATACCTTTACCTCTTTTCTTAATAAAGGGGGTTTGGGAAGGGGAGGAGGGGAGGAAATGACAACACAGGACATCAGGGTAGGTGGAATACTATAACAACATGGACAATATTGTTATATTATTCCACCCACCTTAATGCTGAGCCTTTGGGGGTCGCCACACCATAGCCCTTAGAGTCCAGATTGCCGCCCACTTTCATCGTGTCGCAGGGCTTCCTCTGCTCAATGTATTCATTCATGGTGGATTCAAGAAGAAATGCGAACTTTCCCTTCGACTTTCGTACCCGTGCCACGCCGTCCGGTGTGGTCTTGGCAAAGACAGATGGCTCAGCCGATTTCATGTATGACCACATTTTTTCATACACTGCTATTTTTGATCTCTGTAAAAGAAAGACAAGGAGAGAAAAAACACAAGCAGCCTTATATTACATTGTAGAGAAAGTGAAAAATAACACAATTTTATATGAGACCTAAAGACTAGGTCACAAAACTGCATAAACGTGTTAATAAAGTATGTATTACACATAGTAACCATTACTATATGCCTAAATAATAACTGATTTAAATAGTTTATTAATCAACTCGTTCTGAATAATCTTATAAACCACAAACTACTATTAAACACAAATGGTTTGTAATGCAATACTAAATTCATCAGTAACAAAGTATAAAAGTACAATCATAAAACACATTATAAATGTGCTTTTAAGAATAAAGCTATGTTTATAAACGACTTACTAATGTCTTATAACATAAAGTTAATGTTTAACAAATGATAAATTAACTATTTGCCAATGCTTAATTAATGATTTATAGTATATAATTATTACAAAGTGTTACCAGAATGTATTAAGCACCTACATGCAGACTGGGACATATAATAGATAGAAAAAACTTAAGGTTAAAGTATATGGCGATCAATTTGAATTGCCCATTACATGAATGATTTTTATGCATGTTTGTGTTATTTGATCCCTATCAAACATATCTGAAACATTCCTTCAAACATATAACATTTTATTTAAATTCCATTATCATTTTTTTGTTCAGTAATTTAATTTATGTGTATTTTCTATATTTGTTAGTTTCTTTCATGCATGCCCATTTTTGTTATTTCAGTTATACATTTATTTAAAAAGAGTATGCAGAAAACATATAAAACTAATTATAGTTACATCCTATATTGACATTCGGAATATAGCAATAGAGGCTATACAAATGACATAAATGACGGTCATGTCACTTATTTTTTTAACCTATGGAATTAAAAATATAGGCTTCATATATCTTTAAATATAGGCAGCTACAGCTATACACACACACAAACAGTTGAAGTCAGAATTATTAGCCCCCCCCTCCTTTGAATTGTTTTCTCTTTCTTAAAATACTTTCCAAATGATGTTTAACAGAGCAAGGAAATTCTCACAGTATGTCTGATAATATTTTTTCTTCTTGAGAAAGTCTTATTTGTTTTATTTTAACTAGAATAAAAGTAGTTTTAATTTTTCAAACACCATTTTAAGAACAAAATTATTAGCCCCTTTAGGTAAATGTTTTTTGATAGTTACCATAACCTACCTAGTTAGCCTAATTATCCTAGTTAAGCCTTTAAATGTCACTTTAAGCTGTATAGAAGTGTCTTGAAAAACATCTAGTAAAATATTATTTACTTTCATCTTGGCAAAAATAAAATAAATCAGTTATTAGAAATGAGTTATTAAAACTAATATGTTTGGAAATGTGTTAGAAATGTGTTAAATGTGTTAAAAATCTGCTCTCTGTTAAACAGAAAACGGGGAAACAAATATATATATATATATATATATATATATATATATATATATATATATATATATATATATATATATATATATATATATATATATATATATATCCAATTTTGAGGTGACCTGTGGACCTAGGGCCATATCATACACCCGGCCACCGTATGGAATATGCTTCCGTTGTAGTCATTTTATTTATGACACTTTTTTAAACATTGTGAAATTTTATTAGCAAATTGTATAATTTATTATTTTCAGTTGTAGTATTTATTATTTGCACATTTATATTTGTTAAAAAGTTTTTGAAAAGTTTAAAGTTTAGACTTAATAAAAAAGTTTAAATTTGTCCACCTGTCAGAAAACGCTTGCGTCACCATATCAGAATAGAAGGTGTTTTGAATATAATTTTGACCACACATTGTTTTTATTGATCACTTATAATTTGCTGGAAATTAGAACTGAATTTAGAAATAATTTTGAAAAAAATCTTTGTGCTTAACAAACAATATTATGAAACTAAATATGTAGGTTAATGAATTTTTTCAGTGGAGTATGCACAACACGGTTTTGTTCTTACTTCACAAGAAAAAGAGTATTAGTAGAGTAAAGAGAAATAAAGAGGCTGAATAGCTCATTCTTTATCCTTTTGCAGATAGTCTGTTAAACACTTTTCTTCAGTTTTCCCACTTACAAATTCTGTCATGCAAATAGCAAATGTGCCATGGCATGGTGCAACTGATTTTTAAAAGGAATGGAAGATGAGCCTCTAAATGGTTTAATGCATGTTATGCTTAAAACACACCCATAACTAATTAAGAGAATAAGCACAACCCTTATAGACCATACGGCAGGTTACAAAACGCATTCTTCCATCCCTAAAATAGCAAAAGTGGATTCAGACACTGCTTTTGCACCATGTGCTTTAGACTTTAGGCTTAGATTGTTAAAATAGAGCCCCTAAAATTTTAAATTAGACCTTAGCAACTCAACTTGGTATCAGTTTGAAAGGTCTAATTTAGTAAAATGTTGACCCCTGCTAAGCACTTTCATCTGGTGCAGTTTCTTTTAAAGTAGAACAGATTTCTAACAATATACTTTTCTGTGTTCAGTCTTATGTTTCCCTTAAATGCTGTGTACTCTGGAAAATGGCACTATTCTTCACAGTTGTGGCACTGTTGCTTTTTAAAATCAGTCTTTTTATTGTGGTTTGTACTACAATGGTAGCACTTCCTTTTCCCTTTCTCTTGTAGGGATTGTGCATTCACTTTCACAGAGCCACTTAACTGATGTGATTCTCTCACAGCTGTTTCCATGGATACAGCAATCTCCACTGCCGTTTGGAACATCAGAGCAGCCATTTCTGTATGGACAGTTTTTAGCCCACACACAAAACGATCATGCAATGCACCTTAAAAAAAATGTAGTCTAAATTCTGTGTTCACTCTGCTTTTTTTTAGGACTGTAACAACAAACTGTGCTGCTGTTTCTGTGTTGTGCTGACTGTGATAATGAAACGGTTAAATCTCTCTGCAATCATGATCAGTTTTGGTGAAAAGTGTTTTCCCCCAGAATAGTCACAATGGCATTATATACTTTTGCACCCAGCACCTCTGGGGTGATTAAGCTCTGCAGCAGTCCATTTGTAGATGAGCCCAATGTACTCACCAACACACTGATTCATTTGTGATTTGCAATGTCTTTAGCAGAAACAAATTGTTCAGACCTTAGTCCACTGTTTAAGGAATTCATCAAAGGCATCCATATGACCAAGAAACACTCAACCCAAGCTCATTCTGAAAACGTAGTTCCGCGGACGTTTCTGGAGACAGTGGAATACGTCCTGGGGGGTACGTACGGCTGCGTTTATTTTTTTCAAGCGAACGCTGCGGGGCGGTGTGACGCTGGTCCCTTTCGTGCTTGCCTTACCTCCTTGTGAAGGGCTTCCCCGCTGCAACCCGTTTGTCCACTCAGCTCACAGTGTACGTCGGCAGGCTCGAGATGCAGAGAGGAGTCTACCACGGAGTTCGGGGAAGAGCGGTTCCAGCAATCAGGTAAGACTAAAAACAGAGTCCCAAAAATTAAGTGAACGAGTTTCGTGACAGGGAGAGAACGCGGTGAAATCCAAAAACTGGCTTTTACTTTTTTGGACGGCTTTTGTAAACTGTTGCTCGGGTTTAGGGAAGTGAGCGGGCGGGCGGGTCAATCGGTAAAATTGGTTGGGTTGAGGGAAGGAGGAGGGCGGGTCAGCCGATTGGCCGGTCGCGCAGTCAATCATCCGGTCAGTTGGACAGCGGCCTCTGGTGGGTTCACGCAAGAACAGCGCGGGCGCGAACCGCACTCACGAGAGGCGTCTGAGGTGCGAAAAAGCGCACAACAGCGGCCTCTCGCGGATTCGCAAAAACAAAAACTGCAGCCGTACATACCCGCCGGGACGTATTCCGCGGTCTCCAGAAATATCCGCGGGACTACGTTTTCACAATGAGCCTGGGTTGGAAACACTGTCATCCCATTGGGTGTTGTATTTAATCCAATCTATGTAAAGTTAGTATGTAAGTCCATCCTATCACATATATCTGGCATTCAACAAGACAATCCTCGTAGCCAATATTATATATTTATCTTTCGTATAAGATGAGTAATATGCTGACACAATTGTTGTACTTATTCACTTTATGTTTACCAGGAACCATAAACGTTGCATGTTGTTCAAGTACAATGTCTGCAATGTTATAAATGTTATTAATTGTAAGTCAAAATGACAAACTCAATACTTTTTATTTTACAAGTCTCCTAGAGTTAAACTTGTTGACTTGCAAACTAAAGTGAGGTGTTTATTTTATATACAATTTATGAACCAAAAATTATATAATACAAATATTTAAAAATGCTATAGGATAATTAAAAAAGACAACACAGTCTTAATAAGTGTATTACAGCTATAAAAAAATATCTATTTATAAAATAAATTTATAAAACATTTATTACAAGTAGGTTTTTTTATTACAGCATGTGTGTACTTTCATTTTCTCTATGACACTCTCAATGAGTTGAGGTATTTTGAAAAATTAATAAGACCACCACAGAAATACTGGTTTGGCTGAAAGGCTAATTACTTTACCAGCAATTCCTTTTTATTTCTACAGCACTTTTACAATGCAGATTGTGTCAAAGCAGCTTAATATAGAAGTTGGATGTTGAAGGACAATACAGCAATGTAGGAGATTTTAAAGGAATGAATTCTCTCATAGCTTAAACTAAGCTACTTAGTAATTAAGGTTCCCATTATTTACACATAAACTTGTGTGACTGATGTTGTATTTAAAGAAATTTAAATAAAATATATAATTACATTCACCCCAGTACCCACCTGGCACGTCACTAACAGATCAACAACCACCCCCTATTCTCTGCTCTCGACTTACAGACCAACAAACACCCATACTACCACCCAATCCACCCCCGACCCCCAGTCTCTGCTTACTTAATTGCCACTCTTCCCTCACTCTTCAATTTACTGTCAACATTGCTTAGAGTTCCGGAGAGACTAGGATTGCCTCTAGTGAGGAGTAATGCTTTTAGTAATACTTCACATACAG